TTTATGTCTTCCACAAATAAGTACTAACTACAAGTCCTGTTGTGTTAGTTTCTTGTTTAATGTCACACTCATTATTTCATCTTTATGGCGGAGGCCTGCAAATAATGAAGTCGGAACCAGAAAATCCAGTAATCAAAATTGTGTGTAACGACACACGCCATCGGGGTACGATGATACGCTATCAACCAAGTCACCAGATCAGTTTTGGTAGTCTTTCACAATCAGCGTACATTGTAGTTTTATAGGGACCTATTAAAGCCCGGAATCCCCACGGGGGTAGTCATATTGTGATGAGATATATATATTAACGTGTGCATAAATGTACCATAATGGACATTCTTTCCAGTAAATGTACCTCTTTTGAAATGTCTTTATCTTTACATGAAAGACCGTCACCATGACAATTTCCTTGTTGTATCGGGGCGGTCGGGTAGCCTTGTGGTTAAAGCGTTCGCTCGTCACGCCGAAGACCCGGGTTCGATTCCCGACATGGGTACAATGTGTGAAGCCCATTTCTGGTGTCCCCCGCCGTGATATTGCTGGAATATTGCTAAAAGCGGCGTAAAACCATACTCACTCACTTTTTGTTGTGTCACTTCCAGGTTTGTTACGAAGACAGTCCAGTATTTTATCCTGACATGCATCTTAGGATATTTACCTTTTTTGTCTGTGACTCGACACAAAAAGGAATGAAGTTAATTTTGACCAGAGTTTAAAAGCAGTTTAAGAACTTTGATAATTTGATTCAAATCCCCACACACCAAACGCCCACTTTATAAACTTAATTGTAATTCTGTTGACATTTTCACAGAGATCTAATCAAATCATAGTACCACTGTCAAAATGTTATTAATGCATTCCCCATCCGTTATGGAGCAACACGAACAACGGATGCGGTATCTTCCTTCGGTTGCATGTCGGCTGGGTCAACCTACTTTAACGACACCGTTCAGAGTACAAATATAACAATTACAGCTGCCAGTCATCAACGTTAACTGCTATTCCTGCAAAGTTTTATTTGTCGGATTGAAACATTTTCAAACCTATTTTCTTCCCTCCAAACTTAAGGACTTAAGAGTTTAATCCGACAGTTAACACTTAAATGTCTCCGCCAGTGAATCTGTATGGGGGCGCAGGGTGGCCTAGTTGTCTGAGGCAACTTACGCCAATGATCTTTGCATTGTAAGCAACTACAACCTTCCCGAATATTCGTACGGTGAAATTGTGTGAAATGTAGCACATGTGCGATCTCTCCAGCATCCCCGCCCACCCACCCACACGCTCACACTCTAAACTGAAACGGTGTGAATCCAACAATTTCCCCGAAGAATTCAATGACAAAATGTGTTTTATGATCAATGTACATCAAAATGAAACCATTTAACTCAGCATCAGTATCCGCAAAGGATGTGATTTCATTATTACATCTGACACTTCACACCCTGAAATAACTGCTTCACTTAACCGTTTCCATCAAAACATTATGGCGGCGTTTTTAAGTGAATTTGTTTTGTAATCAGTCGATATACCATATCGCCTGAACATGCTCTGTTGATAATACAAATATGATAAAAGCTTTTACCTACGTAATGATATTTTAACGCATCACGCGTTTTATCTATCAACGGTATAATGTTCCATCCCGTCCACATATCAAACCAGTTAAACATGTAAACCCAAACCAGGGCCACATTAAACTGTCATTCTCTGCATTCTCAGTTTCTGGGAAATTGGTACATGTATTAGATTGCAAAAACGCCAGTGGCAGAGAGATTTACTTGTGGTACCATTGAGATATACTGTGTTTCAGGGTATAGCCTTGATATAAGGTCCGCAATTGACACTTGATCACTGATATCACTTGACCCGTTTGGAATAAAGATGGATAGCAGGGACTAAACTGCGAATGTTGAAGTCTTTGACGGAATGGTACTGCCATACCGCAGGGCGTAATGTGATTAAGGATACCTATTCTGGTCCAATCGTTATGCGACTTAGGAGTGGACAGATGCAGTGAATTGAAGCATCGAAGTGTTAAGTACTTCCGTTATCTCCTGACCGCCTCCGTGGTCTAGTGGTAAAGCGTCCGCTCGGGGGGCGGGAGGTCCGGGGTTCGAGCGTCATATTATACAATAGGTAGTGACGGTTTTGTTCATGGCTGAAACAGTGGCCTAAGGCGCTTAAATTCGCCTCGTAGATTTGCGTTCCTAAGGCGTGCAAACAACGTTTGTCAATGGTTCGATTATGCCTGATTATAATTATTTGTCTCCATGAGTGAGTGAGTGAGTGAGTATGGTTTTACGCCGCTTTTAGCAATATTCCAGCAATATCACGGCGGGGGACACCAGAAATGGGCTTCACACATTGTACCCATGTCGGGAATCGAACCCGGGTCTTCGGCGTGACGAGCGAACGCTTTAACCACTAGGCTACCCGATCGCCCCTGTCTCCATGAAACTTCAGTACATATCCGTGCTGATTTGTTTCGCCGGGATGGCAACCTCTAGCAAGTGCGTTTAAACTAATTCACGAATGACATAAAAGCGACACGAAGGCATTAAAAATTATTCATCAGTCAATAATCCCAGACAGGAGCGATTGTTGTTTGGTGTTTCATTTAGATGGACATGGATTCAGTCAGTAGACACATTAAATATTTATTTCAAAAGCATTTTAATCAAGTTTCCATGATGAGTGTTTCAAGAACAAAACCTGTGCACATTACACTAATATTCGTAATTTCAACGTTATAAAATCTGAATCCAAGACGATTTGGGAAATACCGCTTTTACTCGAGGGATGGACCAGTCAAATCAAACGTAACTCTTACGAATACAAAATGAAGAACTAAAGCTGGTTTGTTTAGGCATAAACCAATTATGTCATCATTGTAGAAGAGTTAAATGAACAATTTGTATATTTCTTTTTACAGGAGGTTATGAATATTTACACTATTTTACCCGTACACTCTCAAGAAAAGCAGTTGTATTTGGAATAAAATGGTAATCTGTTTTGTACAATCCAGATTCTACTGAAGAAGGTCGAACAGATTGTACGCAAGGAGCGTTGAAGTAATCTTGTTAGTTTATAATCAAGCTGCATATGAAAACCTTCGTTTAGGGTTAAAGCCGGTTGTCACTTCAGTTTCATCCCTGCAATCCTCTAGCATAATAGCCACCGCCATCTCCCGACAATGTCAATAGAATTTGTCCCATAATGCTCTCCAATCACAAACCCTAATGACTTACAATCAATTTGTTGGTCCCACATAATTCCGCGCTCATCGACGCCTGCGTTTATGGCCTGTTGTCGGCCCATCAGCCGCTTCAGGTGTAATGTGGAATTACGTGTGGGAAACTATGTTCGACACAAGTGATAATTTACTTTAAAATCACTTCCAGGGAAAACAGGCCGATTTAAATAACTGACCTGGTTTACCCGCTACCTCCTACTTTAACTGGCATCAGTTGAATATTTCGATTGTTAATTTCATGTCTTACGAGGTTGCGTTATTGTTTTGGCTACTACATTTGTCCTATGTGCGAGGACGTGTATCTTACGTTGCATTAACTATTAATCCACAGGTTAAATATATATATATATATATGTGGCCTTAAATATGAAATGATCTCCGTTCTATATATTGGTATATTATATCTATATCTATATATACACTCACACACATATACACAGAACGGAAATCATTTCATATTTAAGTCCACAGATAAATATTTAGCCTGTGGATTATATTTGAAGTTAATACAAAGTAAGGTACACGTGACACTTTTGATAATGCAGCTAAAAGTTATTTGAAATTGGAATAGAGATTCAAATGATGATGAATACACAATAAGAGTATTCGCTCATGAGTGAGTGAGTGAGTTGTGTTTAACGCCACTTTTAACAGTATTCCAGTTATATCACGGCGGGTCAGCTTATTGTGGGAGGAAAGCCCGAAGTGATGCAGGTCTCAGACGTTTACCACTTCGGTGAAACCCACGAGCACGGGTATGGTGCTGACAAACCTAGAAACATAATCAGGGCGAACCGGGATTCGAACCCACAATCATAAGTTTCTGGCGTGCCCAAGGGACGCAACTCTGCACAGCGAATCGCGGCGCTTTAGACGACTGGGCCACCAGTGCCCCCGTATTCGCTCATAATAGGCCATGCCAAGTGTTAAAAGTTTTCGCATTATCAACTGATTACATCAGTGGTGAAAAACAATCGCAATTTATCTTTCAGTGGTGAATATACTGTTGTCGGCTCACCAAGTAGATTCTCATCTCTTTTGAACAATAACCGATGTGAAGGATACTGGTAAGAAGGAGAAGAACAAGAGAAAGAATAATATGTTTGCCTCGTATCATAACGCTACTTCTTGAACAAAATCAAATTTTGAACACATTGTCTGAGGAGACAAAAATATATTTCTTGTACATTATGACATGACATGCAAAATCATTTTTGCCTCGCCTGTGGTACTAAAAGACAAAAAACAATTTACAGCTTCGAAAATTTCATGCAATATATGAACGCATCTTAGGGATGCGATGATATGTAACCTCTTTTGTGCCGACACGCGACCCTATTTCAGAACGTCTATTTTGAGAGAGCAAGAGAGGGAGGAAAGTGTCTACAAAGAATCCTCATCTTCATCAAGGACTCATCCGGGTTGATACCGCCTCCCAAGGGAGACAACTCACATAATTACGGTTCATATGACATAACCCAATACTACTGGACCATTGTACCAGCATAGATAGACATCTATTTTCACGTCGAATGCTTCATTGTAGACAGGCCTAGGGCAAATCACAATCCTAACTATCAGGATGTGCAGGAACTGAACTAATTAGAAAACACACTTCATTAATCATCGCGACACAATCACGCTATTGGTCGTGCATTCTAGTCCTTTCAGTCTAGTCCTTTCAGTGCAGATGTTACAAACAGGCTCTTCAATCTTAATGACTTAAATGCAATGCCTTCTATTTCAGTTGCTGTTGTTGTTGCGTTCTTCGTCTGCTGGGCGCCTTTCCACTCTCAACGCCTGATGACGTCATACTTGTCACGTGATCAATGGACATTTGAGCTCCTGGACTTTCAGAGTCATTTATTCTACATATCTGGTAATTATATATCTTCTTATCTGGTAGCGATAAAAAGGATTGATGAAAACAAGATTCCGGATGGAGAAGGAAAATTATGGTCATTGCAAATATGTCATAATAATGTAAGTAGGTATTCCAACTGGATATTATTTTTTTTCTCAAAGAAAAATACAGTTTTGGCATAGCGGTGGATTACCCGACGCATGTGACATATCAACAAAATATGTTTACGAAGCTTTTTCGATCTCCGGATATCTAATTCGCTAAAAAAAAATAACGATCAGCAATAAATCGATTCATTTGAATTCAGATCTAAAACAATCATTTTTCCATTGATATTCAGATACATGATGGAAGAAAGACAAAGTATACATAAAAACACTGTTGTGACGAACTTACGCTTGTATCGAAGAAAAAACTTGGTCACGGCGTATTCATTCATTATTCATCATTTTCGGTTGTGTCGATCCTCGGATAACTCGAAGTATATACGTAGGTCCCTTCAACTTCGACACAACGGTGTTTGACTGTATTTTATCGTTTTTTCCAGGCGTGCTATATTTCTTCAACTCGACTGTGAATCCTCTCCTTTACAACATGATGTCCCGCAAGTTCCGGCGGGCATTCAAAAGGACCTTGTGCAGGTGCTGCTTCAGCAGGGAGGAACTAGCAGAGCTGAAAGGAACTTCCAGATCGGTGCTATACTCGGAGCGAACGCAGTGTGTCAGCAGGTTCAAGGACAGTTCTCCCATCCACATGAAAAACATAAACGGGACCTTACAAAGAACGAAGTCGGGGAATATTTTAACCCCCGGGCCTTCTCCACATGCCGTGAGGCTTCTACTGAATGGGTACACACAGGACCGCAGGCCACAGAGTATGGTTCAAAATGGCCGACGTGTTGTGTCATCGGTCGCCGGGCCTCCACCACTGAGCCCGTCAATTCCACCTTCTCCAAACATTTCCCCTGCGGCAAGTGTGGGTAGTTTTGATGGGGTAGAAATGGAGTGTCGTAAATTGGATGAAGACAGTCGGTCGGTATCGCGGTCTGGTTCATCGTCTGTGGCGTTACTGGTTCGATGCACTAACGTCAAACAGAGAGACACTACTTTTGTGTAAGGCTGGGTCTCGGGAACAGTTTGTACTGTCGCCATGGGAGGAAGGGCACAACATAATTTGTGCATAGTGAGTGCGTGAATTAGTTGAGTTTAACGCCGCTTTGAACAGTATTCAAGTTTTCCAGTTATAACACGGCGTGTCAGCTAAATGTGGTAGGAAAGCCAAAAAAGATCCAGGTCTAAGACGTTCACACCTTTGAAGAAACCCAGCAGTACGGGTATGGTGCTGACAAAACTAGAAACATATTCGGGGCAAACCCGGATTCGAACTCATCGTAAAATTTCGGCGTACCAAAGGGACGCAACTCTGCACAAAGACTTGTGGCGCCTTAGACGCCTGGGCCAATTTGTGGCATGAGAGCAAGTGTGTTGTGGTAAACGCCGCTTTTATCAGTGTTTCCGTCATATCACGGCGTATTACTTTGATGTTGGAGAAGGGCCCGTAGTCATGCAGATCGTAGACGTTTACAACGTTGGTGCTGACAAACCAGGGACGTTAATCGGACTGAATCATGTCTTCGAGCCAAAGGTCAGCGAATACTGATATGGATAATGTATGCAGCTCCTATTAGCGACTCACGGCGCGGTTAGCGACCAGGCCGCCTGTGCTCTCTGTTACAGAGTGAAGTCTTGAGACTCGCCTCACGAAACATTTGTTTGCTCAACGCAACATATTCACATCTTAATTACATGCTGCTTCAGTATTCGTTTAATCATATCATAACTATATGTAAGTTGCCATCCTTCGCTTCTTCTAACTCTCTTATATATACTCGACTTCTACGACATTGTACTTTTCATGTATGGTGAGTGTCCTGTACTTTTAAGGCTGTATTTACAGTATCGTTATTGTATGAATACGCGTTGCTGGACATTAAGTGTTCAAAACATTCCTTGTTCTATTTGGTGTATCATGATCATTATTTATGCTTTCATAAGAAATTTTAACAGTTATTCCCTCGGAAAGAAGAAATCAATCTCAGGAAGATGATCATTGATCTGGAAACGTCACATGTTCGAACATGTATGTATTTTTCAGGCCGCATCCTTTATCTAACTTGGACGTTAAACTGTGTTATATTGTACACTGGTGAGCGTTAACTTGCTGCTCAGTACACGAAAAAATAAAGAATATATGTCACAAACACCACTTTGATCGTTTGACTTTTAGATATGCTCAGTCACACGAAAACCTTTATAACACACTGGTCAGTATAAAACCAGTAATAATATACTTACGCATCCCATCTTGGTGCTAAGTCAGTTGCACGCCTCGACCAAAATCATCCCATCTGTGTGAGACGTCTGCTGCAAGCCTCGACTAACATCATCCTATCTGGGTGAGACGTCTGCTGCACGCCTCAACTAACATCATCCTATCTGTGTGAGACGTCTGCTGCACGCCTCGACTAACATCATCCCATCTGGGTGAGACGTCTGCTGCAAGCCTCTACTAACATCATCCCATCTGGGTGAGACGTCTGCTGCACGCCTCTACTAACATCATCCCATCTGGGTGAGACGTCTGCTGCAAGCCTCTACTAACATCATCCCATCTGGGTGAGACGTCTGCTGCAGCCTCGACTAACAACATCCCATCTGGGTGAGACGTCTGCTGCAAGCCTCTACTAACATCGTCCCATCTGGGTGAGACGTCTGCTGCACGCCTCTACTAACATCATCCCATCTGGGTGAGACGTCTGCTGCACGCCTCGACTAACAACATCCCATCTGGGTGAGACGTCTGCTGCACGCCTCGACTAACATCATCCCATCTGGGTGAGACGTCTGCTGCACGCCTCGACTAACAACATCCCATCTGGGTGAGACGTCTACTGCACGCCTCGACTAACATCATCCCATCTGGATGAGACCAAAGTTCAGAAATTAATTGAAACCGTATTACCATAACTGTATTAGACACATTACTATTACACTTTGAATCCTTCGTCGGAGTTCTAAAGGTGAAAATCAATCAATCAATAGTCAGTACAGGAAGAGTATTCACCAATCGTTTGAAATGGCTTCCTTTCTCAGCTCGAAACACAGAGTATTTCAAACCTATACCGACTCCTGGTCTTAACATTAAATCAATCAAATATACCAAACTATCATGCAAAGATACCGTGTACTGCAAATGAGCACACAAAGCAGTGAAGTTTGAAATGTTCAATCAAAAACTATTTCTACTCACATCCATTCGCCTGTCGAGCGTCTGCACACATATACAGTGCCTAGTGAGCACAAGCTGTGAGTTCAAGCTCATGAGGCAAATACTCATATTATACGAAGGGCGTACTGTTGTGACTTCAACCTTGTTAACAGTTTTTAAAGCGTTTCTTTAATGGCAACGTAAAAACACTTTCTATTCGCGTTGTCAAAGAGTTGCGTCCTTCAATCGTACGTTACAAGTAGGACAAAAGGAGCTCCCCTTTGCAGCGTTTCAAAATACCCCACAGACGTATTGTTTGAGATGGTCGTAGTGGGATGATCTTCCCCCGCCGGGGATTACCACAAGCATGGGGCAAGAAAACGATCTTTTTGATTTGACAGATCACTAAGGAAGCTTGTGTTGGGTATTATAGCTTCAAAAAGATTAGAGGTTCACAGAAAACACATCTTAAACTATTTCTACCCTTTTGTACTCCAAAAACATTTGCGTGTTTAGTTAGGGAATGTAAATAACCCTATGGCGAAGGACCACAGAACCACAAATTAGTATTTCAAGATGACAAGGGACAATATTTGAAGAGAACGCTCTTGGCATAATGAGGATATGTCACAATGACACACTTTATAAATGACGGAGAGGGTATAAGCCTTGGTTGAGGAAGCCTTTAATTAATGAAGAGGAGAAAGTGTGAAAGAGAGAGGAGATGAAATAGTGTTTAATAAAGCGTTCAAACCATATTTTAACATCCTGTGGTATCATGAGCATGACATTGTGTTTATGAATCACTATAAAAAGAGATGATATCAGGTATTATTAAAAAGATTAGCTTACCCTGCCACACCGGTGGCACCCGTCACAAACACATGCAAAGGTAAGTCAGTTGTTCACCTGACAAAACACGGGGACGTATGGTACAAGTCAAGATAGGGACTTGCCCTCCCCATTTCTAAACTAAAACGTTTAGAAGGCTTTGCTGAATATTATAACCTTGCTCAAACAACTCTTTAAAATCCAGAAAAGCCTGCTCGATGGTAATAATTTAGACAAACAAATTATATTTCAGTAATAGTGTACGACCACAGATCCATAACGCATAATGTAAAGAATACAGAAGCGATTTACAATGAAGAATGTCTTTTTGACATGGCATGATTTATGAACAATGAAAGATGACGAGTTGTACTATTGTTAGTACAAGACATTAAGTTACTATTCCATGTATTCATTTCTTATTTCATTAAATTTACAAGTAACCAGCAAAATCATATTCATCTTCAACCTCGTTTCAATAACATAACAATGAGTACACAAACTTACATGTACATCACTAGGTAAAATATACTTGTCTGCCAATTTCAATCCTTAGGTTAACTATTATTATGCATACACAATATGTGATTTAATAAGCTTAAAATGTTCCCATTCATCTGGAGAATCTACAATTAATGAGTTTTGAGCAATGGTGTATTATGTGTAAATGTTACATACAGAACTTTGGGGAAGAGGTTATTTCTCATTGCCAAGGCTTGATTCGGATGTCTCTGCCTAAAGCTTTCAAGATGAATATTCAAACAAAGGCAAGCCAAACCTAAATGCGCCGTAATGAGTTCTATTTGACTCAGGCTTTCAACATTTGATAGCATGCATATGACACTATACACGTCTTGTGATGTCACAAACATTTTACGTGGCATGTCTCTGGAACGTAATAGATTCAGGAATATATTTCTGTATATAAGGCAAAAGGCAGCACGCACTCGTATATTTTCAGAGATATTTAACATGTTTATAACTTTATAATGTACATGTTTACAGTTGAGCATATTACAAACATAGTTGCAGTAAATACAGTTATAAATAACAGCATGGATATTACTTGTTGAAATATCCAATGTCATAATTTATATTTGCAATTAGTCATATTCTTGGCACCATCAGTCATCATCAACAAGTGAGTAACACTGACTACTTATGAATTACACATAGTTGAAGTCGCTCACGTGTTCTGACTCACTGCCATATCAGGCATACACCAATCCAAGAGGAAACCGATGTCTGTCGCTGGAGGAGTTCCCCTGCATATCGCACGAGGAACAGTAGTATCAGTCGCAACATGAAGAAACCGATTCATATTGTATGGAACGACTGCAGTGAAAGAAGAATCTTGCCGTCTAGGGTGTTTGTTCTGAACATATTTTTGACATATGCGTCTGTGGCACATAAAAGTACATCGCTTCTGTCTTACTGAAGGATTTAATGAGCAATGCTCCCAGGAATTCTTGACCCAAGCTAAATCTTGTTTCCCTATGGGCACAATCACCTGACATGCGTATATGTTATATTTTCGACCTCACATCCACTCTCTTTTTATTTCCACTCTCAGAGCATATATATTGTCCTCAAAGCCCATCCCTCTGGCCATGCTGCGTCTATTTCCGAAGCATAATTGTCAGTCCTCTGCCAAGTGACGCGTTTCGCCGTTTTTAGGGCGTTCAGGTACTAGTAGAAGGTTGGCATGGGTACCAAGCAGGCTGTGCTTGTCGTACAAGGCGTTTACATGTGAATCAGGAAGTCAGACTCGGTTACTTGGTTGATTGTCATCACATCCCGATGGCTCAGTACGTTCCTCATCATAGTCCACCAGTTCATTTGGTCCCATGTCTGAAATCTGAATCAATGATGGTTATACATAATGTGCATACCCTGACGGAAGTGTACTATCTTTCCAAGTGTACTTTCCATTGACACATGTTCGATATGAGAAGGAATGACGTTTATACACCACTCTTAATAAAGAGCTCGAAGACGATTGTCATACAGACTCCTTTTTGAAGATTGGTGCTCTATTCGCCATTTCATAGAGAGAGACAAAAATTGAAATTAACCATGATTGCTCTTATTCATCATTGTACATTGATACCACAACATGACACCGTGACACCATGGATATTTAGCGTGTAAACGCTGTACATAATTACATTAAAATATATTTTGTAACTACTTCATCACAAAGACAATTATGTTGTTTTCAGTGCACGATGGGATCAAGCTATTTCTGGCCGCCTTGTAATTAATCGTCTGTCCACATAGATACATCACCACAATCCTTGGCTAATCATTTGCCGAAAGAGAAGTGTTGCTATCAAATATGCCACTACATAAAACCAAGTAGCAAATCACCCCAGTTCTCTCGACAAAGTCGCTATGCTCCAAGCCAAGTGGAAACTGTAATGAAATGACATCATACATTACGCGTTGACGATGTGCAGATCACAGACACGGTGGAGCTGCTGCCCACGCTATTGAGCAGCTGTAAAGAGCTATAACAACAGTACATCAGTCGCATCTGGAGTTGTGCATCTCTGACTTTGTCCCGAGGCTCTTCGTATTCACGTGACTGAAGACATTCATGTACATCGTCAGTCCCTTTTTCAATACCCAACATTAGTAATGAATATGTGAATCTACGTTTAATGCATCTTAGGTTCATGTACACTACTGCCTAGGAGTTAATTCCCTTTACAAGCATGGGCAACGCGTGACGCAAACCGTGTGCATCCCGTTGGTGACTCGGGTGGAACCCGTCCGCCACGCGTATGATACCCGAGTGCAACGCGTTGAACACGGGTGTGCACCCCTTTCGTCACTCGGGTGCAACACGTGAGATACAGGGTCAAAATACTTTCGACCAAAGGGGTACCCATGTTAAGCTGAACTTTGTGGTGGTAACAAGGTAACAAGACATTTTTGATATCCTGACGAAAAATGTTAATATACATTTTATTTTATGTACTTGTTGATGGCTCATTTTTAGATGTGTGATTTTGTAGGAAAATATGAGAACTGTTGTGGCTTCTACATGATGTTTTGCGATGGTGTTATGAGGATTCATGATCCTGGTTAATGTTATTGCCATTCAAATGTTTTGTTTTGTATTTTGTT